TCGTCCAAGCAGTCACTGCAGAGTCGGTAACGACTGAGCGCAGATTAAAAAAAAAAAAATCGAATCATACTAATTAAAGTAAATTACAAATAAATAATTATTTATCTGGCTGCAAAGAGAGAATCCACTCATTAAAACCTCCTCTTTTCTCACAGATAAAACTATCTGAATAATTAGTAATAAACAGGAAATAATGAATTCTAAAAGATATAGTTATCTTCCTGCCAGTCCACACTGGACAGACTGCCACTGTAATTGCCTTTTATTATGAATGGTGAAAAAACCAGGCCTGTAAAAGGTAATACAGAAAACACTTCTCTGCAATAGACTGGCAGTTCTATTATCCAAAGTCTCTATTTAAAAAAAAAATGAGCCAAGGATGGCCATTCCTGCTGAACGGATGGAAGGCAAAAAGATCAATACTCAGATTAAAAGTTGGTAGCCACAGAGGGGGAACATTCATCCTTTTCTTCTTCTTACATTGTATACATTGATGCTGTTAAGATATAAATTAAAACAGAAAAATATCTCTTCCCTTTACAATTTTACAACAAAAACATCCCCTACATGCATGCATGCTCACACACAACAGAAGCTAGTAACAACTGGCTATATGTTAATATATATCACTCTTTTTTTTTCTGAACACTGCTACAGCCAAAAAGTTCGCCAAACATTATAGCCCTTTGTCCAAGTAAATAGTATTGCTACACACTGAGTGACAAATCCTGTAGGGTGTGCAGTCACAGAGAACAGCTGCTTTGGCTGAACTGTTCTCCAAGTATATATATCAAAAACCTAAACATGAAAGGAGAATGTCCCAGAAGTCTCCATCCTAGGCAACATGTGTGGCCAGTGTTCATTCTGAAACAGACACCCAGCCGGTGCATTCCACCTACGGTATCCAGTTGTTCCCACAGCTGCAAACAGGATCAGAACCAAAAGCAGCACTCCAGTGACACTAAGGGCAGTGGGGAGAACCGAGGCTGCACCTGGAAATGGAGGAAAGGTCAAAGAAGGCAATAAACCAAGGGTGCGCCCTTATCCTTTTTTCCTTTAGGCATAACAAGGAAAGCAGAAGGTTCTTCTTTCTTTTCCCAGTCACCCTCCACATCTCCCAACCCCAGTTCTGCCCCAGATGCAGTAATTTGCTCCTATGCATTTTAATAAGTCTCCACCTTTCCCATGGTAGTCCTGCTTGTGGGAATTACATTGGGAGCTGGAGTTACCTGGGCCACAAACACTGCTTGTATCAATAACCTACAGGTGCCTACCTCCAGAACTGAGAAAAACAAGGGTAGATATCCTTTAAACCTCAAGAAAGGTGGAGGAAAATGTCTAATGTCTGGATAGCTTCTGCTAAACTAGAGCCAGGGAGCCGAGCATGGCTTGCCCTCAAATCTGTTTCTCAAACACTTGTCGGTCACTTGTCAGAGAGGGCACTCTTACCAAGCTGGACAGCCCTTTTGTTCCTGTTGGGTAGCAATGAAGGGAAGTCCACGTGCCTGGAAGCCTCGGGATGGGGAAAGCTACTCTCGGCAGGAAAAGTCTCTGCTACAGCACTTACCTTTGGAGTCATATTTTGGAGGATCAGATGGGGAGGAGGTAGCAAATAAATTCAGGCAGGCAGGCAGGCAGTCAGGCAGGCAGGCAGTCAGGCAGGCAGGAGCTGAAATGCAAGGGGAGATAGATACCTCTCCCACTCTTGGAGAAAAATACATCCACATAAAAGAAAAAGTGGGTCTGCAAAAGCCATTTCCCATCCCTGGCACAAGCCAAGCCCAAGGCTCCCCAGGTCTTTTGCTAAAATCCCAAACTCCTCTCAAACATTATATGAGTTATAATAATTATTTTATACAGTGATTACAACTGGTCCTTTGTTTATTTTGGTGGTTTGCTACACTTTTATTTCTGTTAAGATTTCTCTCATATGATTATGAAACTCTTGTGCTAGAAATGCATAATTTTGCTTTCACATGTAATCAGGCAAGCACTGACAGCAGATCTGGTGTAGTGGTTAAGGCACCAGACTAGAAACCAGGAGACCCAGAGTTCTAGTCCTGCCTTGGGCACAAAGCCAGCTGGGTGAACTTGGGCCAGTCACTCCCTCCCAGCCCTAGGAAGCAGGCAATGGCAAACCACTTCTGAAATCTTGCCAAGAAAACTGCAGGGAATTGTCTAGGCAGCTGCCAGGAGCCAAGACTGACTTGGGGGCACAGAAAAAGACCAGCATTAGGACCTGGGATAGGCAGATGTTGTTGTTTGATGGTGTTAAAGTTATCGTCACAGGATGTAAGCTGTTCCAAGTAAAGCAGCCTTTTGCAATTGACTGATGATTTTGTCAATGCCAATGGTCTTCAAGTAGTACTCCAGATGTTTTGGGATTGCACCCAAGGCGCTTATTACTATTGGTACTATTTTTGCTTTCTTTTGCCACATTCTATTTCTATTTGCAGGTCTTTGTATTTTGTGATTTTCTCCAGTTCTTTCTCTTTTCTTCTACTGTCTCCAGGTATTGCAATGTCTACTATCAAAACTTTTTTGTCTTTCTTATCAACAATTATTAAGTCTGGGGTGTTATGTGGCATCTTCTTCACTGTCCTTCAGACATTCTTCCAATGCCCTTTTTTTTCTTCTTCAACTGTCTGGTGTACTTGCAACATTCCATGCCTACCTATGCTCCTTAGTAAGTAGAGTCTGTCAAACTCACTGCATTGATGAAGGGCATGATCCATTGTCATTATTTTTCTGGTTTTCCTATCCAGGGCTTCTAGTTCTGCTTGAGTCCAGTTCACTATTTCAGCTGTGTATCTAATGACTGAAATTGCCCAGGTGTTAATTGCCTTGATAGTATTTCTTCCACTGAGTTTGGACT